TCACATAATACATCCAACGACGCGATGACGGTTGTCGGATGACGCTGGGTCACAAACTGCGTGTTGATGGGTTGAAATGTATTCAACGTAGGATGATATTCATATCGTTGTGGTACACGCAGATCCTGTGGATCAACCCCAACGGCAACAGTAGGTGTGAGATCGTGATATTGAGAAAACAATTGCAAAGTGTGATCAAAGCTGTTATATTGTTTATTGAGTGAGGGTTTATGCTTGTTGATATGAAGGGCTTCTTTAATTTTAAGGCGAACTGGATCGGGTTCATAATCACCTGAAAACAAAGAAACGACATTCAAAGTTTATTATTTCACAAATCATAATCAGTTTGTCACAAAACATATTTCATTAAACTTTACTTTTAGGTTTTCTTTTAACCTCTCAACAAAAACCCCAGACAAAAAATTCGCAGTGTACTATCAATCGCGCAAAGCGCGACAAAATCAAATTTAAAGAAATATAGTTTCTTTACATCTACCCTCCCGAGAAAGAAAATTCACATGAGAGATTTTCTGCCAGAATCACGCTTTTATCTATTTTTCTTCATTTGTATCCTCCTCAACTTCATCTTTTGTTATCTGTACTGGAATTAATTTTGAAATATGAAATAAGTTTGACTGTTTTCCTGTGTCCTGTATCTATCTCATAAATGGTATCTGATTTTTTTTTCTATTTTATATGGTCCTATCCGTAGTTCTTCTAGTTTTTTTCGATTTAATTTATTCCAATTTTCAACATAAACCATATCTCCAACTTTAAATTCTCTATTTTTTCTTTTTGCATCATAGCACATTTTGTTATAGTAGTGTGATTTCAGAGTTTTATTAAGAGCTCTTTCTTTATCTCTGATCCAGTCACTGTGTATACAGTCTTCACTTAGCTCATTTGGTAAGATTGTAGCATCTGTCCCATAAAACAAATAGCATGGTGCGTAGCCAGTTATTGAATGAATAGTTTGATTATATTTTTCTACACATTGATGTGCTATTGTAGTCCAAGCTTTTTTTTCTCCACTTTCATTTATTATGCATCTTATCTTGTTCACTAGTGTTTGATTTAACCTTTCATTTATGCCATTTGAAAAAGGCGCATTCACAGCTGTAAATATCATCGTTATTTGGTTATAACTTAGAAAGTGCTTGAATTCTTTGGAATTTATTCCAGGGTATTGATCGCTGAGGAGTGTTTTAATCTTTTGTATTTCTGTGATTTTATTTATTAGTTTTATAAAATCATGTGCATTCTGGGTCTTTGATGTTATAATAAATGCGTACCTAGTGAAGTGATCTACTAGAAGGTATTTCTTGGTTGATCTTGAACTACCAAAACCGCCAATTGTGTCTATTTATATGTTTTCAAGAGGTCTTGTGGCCGGCCCTAGATATGATATTAATCGATATTTGTCTTGTCCTCTTGTTTTGTTCTTTATACAAATTTCACAGCTCTTACAAACATCTTTTATATTTTTTGTTAAATTCTTTGATACATATATTGAACTAACAGTCTTTAGCATTTGTCCAACTCCAATGTGACATAAATCCTCGTGTATTCGTACAATAAGCTTAATACTGAATTCTTCTGTTAATATTATTTTATCTTTGTTTCTTATTTTTTTGTAGTATACATTATGTTTTTCAATTATTTTGTTTTTTGTATTTTTTCATTTTTATTCTGATCTATCATAATATCCTCCAACGTAATTAAATTCACTACTTTTAATTGATCTTCTATATTTTCTTCTGGTTCCAACACGGGGTTTCGGCTTAAACAATCTGCTTCTAAATTTTTTCTTCCTGGGAAATATTTGATTTTGAATTCATACTGTGAAAGGTAATAAGTGAGGTCACCCAGCTCTTCATCGATTCTTGCTCTCAAATTCATGTTCTCCAAAGGTTTGTGATCTGAGTAAACTGTAAATGATTTTCCTATTAACCAGCACTGCCAATGTCTCAGTGCTTCCCTGATGACCAAACATTCTAAATATATAGCTTTTTTCTTTTTTTGTGCTTCATTAAGCTTTTTTGAAAAATAGGCCACTGGTTTTTCTTTACCATCTGTTTGTACCTGTTTCAAAATTGCACCAACGCCCTCCAATGATGCATCGGTATAGATGTTAATTGGTAGATTTTGATCATATATTTCTAGTATCGGCTGTGAACATAAGAGACTCTTTACTTTGTCAAATGGTTGTTGACATTCTTCAGACCAAACAAATTTTGATTTTTCCGAAGTAAGTTATGTAGAGGATCTAGTATAATTGCACTTCTTGGTATGTATTCGTGATAAAAATTTATTTTTCCTAAAAATTGTCTAACGTTCCTTTGGGTTTTAGGTATTTGGGAAATTCTTTATTGAAATTAGGTTGTCCTTTATTGGTTGTATCGAATTGTTTTGAATAATATGTCCTAAGTGTTTGATAGAATTTGATGCAAATGTACATTTTTTTAATTTTAAGCGAAATCCTTCGGTTTGAATTGCTTCTAGCAACTGTTTCAAGTGTTTTATGTGTTCTTCGAAAGATTTTGAAAGTACCAAGATGTCATCAATATAATTAACAGTAAATTCAGTAAGTTTATATTTTCTAAGTATATTACTCAATATTTTTTGGAATATTGCTGCTGCTGTCTTCAGACCGAACGGTAGACAAGTCCATTGGAAGTGTCCTTCTTGTGTTACAAATCCTGTCTTCTTTCTGTTTTCTACTCTAAGTGGTATAGACCAAAAAGCGG